TATGTGAGTGAGTGTGCGTATGCGTGTGCGTGTGCGTGGGCGTAGGTGTGCGCGTTTGCGTGCTTGTGTGCATGCCTGTGTAATGTGTGTCGGTGTGCCAGTGTATGCACGGGAGTATGTGCGCAGGGGGATGCGCGTTTTCGCCCATGTGTGAGCGCGTGTGCAATGGCAAGAGGTCACAGCACCCTTGGCAGTTCACATCCGGGGCACTGCATCAGGCCTGATAAAGCGGCCCACAGACGCGAGGCGTGTACATGCTTCAGGCGTGGCAACACCGTGTGCGAGCAAACCTGAGCTGGCAACGTACACATTGCGCACAACGCATCCGGCACAACGTCCGCACAAATACGCAAAGCTGGCTCAGATGGACACAGTATCCTCAGGATACTGTTTCCATCTGGCGGACCAAGAGGCTCGTGGTCCGCCTTTCCAGCCTTTTCAGAAAGGGGGTCGGCCGTGTGCAGGCTATTCGCGGAGGGCACTCAATCGGCTGTCGGGAGGGGTGCATTGCTGGCGGACAGTCCAGTCCATCCGCCATTGCTCACCAGCGTTTTCATCACCACTGGAGTCCATCCACGAATTCAGCTCTGGATCGGACTGCGGTGATGAGTTTGTGTGGAAACAGCAAAGTCATATGTGTGGTCCCGCCCGCACATTGCAAAAGCATGGGCCCCACCATGATTGGGTCTGGGCGTCTGACCACAGGGGGCATGGAGATGGCGAGTCGGCAAACGCAAAGAAGACGGGAGGTTTTGAATGCATGCAACAAAAGCTGCCCTGCAGTCAAAATGCTGCAAGCCTGACAATTCTCAACAGGATGAAGCTGGCAAGCAAGTGGTTGTTTGAGTTTGGGGTGGTGCAGGCACTGCACGCCACATTTGCTCACCTGTGTCTGCGCGCCAGCGTTATAACGAAGCAGGAGATGTGAGGGTGCAGCTGTGAGGTTTTCCGAGGGCAGCTGTGTGGTTCTAGACACAGCGTACAAAAAAGCAGGCACAGCCGGCAGCAAGCGGCTGCTTGTTTGCCCTCAGGCAACCTTCAAGCAGGCAAGGTGTTTGTTCGGTTCGCTTTGCAACTGTTCAGCTGCTAGTTGCAGGGTCGTCTTCTGTTATGCGGTGACGTGGCTGCTGCAGCCATAACTCTGGGCCTTGGCACTCGCTTACCTCCCAGACTTCATGGGCCAGGACCTGCACGCAGGCAAAGTACAGACACCCAGGGGGGCGAGAGACGATAGCACATTGTGTCATTATGCGATGAGAACGTAGCACGCGTAGAGTGGTGGGCTTTTGCGGCCACGGGGAAGGGCGGGCTTCACTCAGAGCGGCGGGCCGAGCCTGAGGCCCGCCTCGGGGTGAGTGAACGCGCGGTGGCGCGCCTTTCAGCAGCTCTGGCAGCAGCTGCCTGGCGCCCGGTCTGGCCTGGACAGTGCAGGAACGCCCTAGAGCTTCCGATGTGAGGCCTCCCACGCACCGACATGGCGCCTTCCACGCCCGGGTCGCCGACATTGGAGCCGTAGCTTTGGATCTGGCCGGCAATGCAGCCGCTGCAAGGGAGGCTGCCGACTGGAAGAGGCGCGCACCCAGCACGGGAGGGGGAGGGCAGAGGAGTAATTGGCGGAGTGCAGAAGCACGGCAGTCTCTCAGAATGGGCCAGCAGAGCGGGGGTGCTTGCCGGTCGAGGCGCTGCAGGTAGGACGAGAGGTGGCATGTGCAAATAGCTGTGGCACTGAAGACCGGCCGCATCTGGCGGCAGGCATGCAGGGCCGCCACACGGGCAGATGCATGTGTGTGGGCAGGCGGCGTGTGCGGCGCGCATGCGCTCAACCAGGCAGGTGTCGCGCGAGAGTCCACCTACGCCAACTGTACTTGAGAGCGTAGGAGACGCCTGATTTCCTGTAGTATGTGTGCCTGGCGTGTGCAGCAAATGGCAGTCAAAGGAGGCAACAGGGTTGATGAGGCCCAGGGGAGGGTTGGCTGTGGTGATTCAAGGGTGCATGCGGTGAGCAACCAGAAGGCAGAGCTCAGGTCACACGGGCAGGGACAGGCTATCGCGGAGGCAGGATACAAGCGCGTCTTGCATGACACGGTGCGCCTACCATCCGCAATAATCCGTGCAGGATCCGTAGCCCCCATCCACCTGTGACGTGGCTGCAGTCATGTGCGGGCGTGTGCGGCAGTACGCTTGTTACACGTCACCTGTGCCGTGTAAACAGCGCGATTGCTGGCATTGAGAGCCCACACACGCAAAATGACCCTGAGCTTAACTTCCCGCTCTCAGATGCACCGCGCACGCATGCCAGAGAGAGCACTTGCGAGAGAGGGGGGGTAAGAGGGGTAGAGGAGGAATGCAGAAGGGGGAGGACAGCATCACAGCAAGAAGCACCACCGTCTTCAGAACGGGGGGCCGTGTATGATGAATCGCGACCCCCATGGTCTGGCCCTGCGCTGCTGCGCACTCGCCCACCCCATATTAAATGCAGCTCAGCGCTCCTCCATGGGACCCCACCATTGTCACTCATCACTATGTAGATGGCGTCCTTGTCAAAAGGGAATGGGCGCAACGCCGTCGGCGTGGCTGCCAGCCTGTTGTCCACCAGCTGCATCACCGCCGAGTCCGACAGGACCGTGCCAGACGACCTGGACGCATCGTCGGCCTCGCCCATGAGCTTCATGGTCTTGGGTGAGTACAGGCCGGCGGCGCTGTAATAGTAGCTGTTGATGTTTTGCGACTTGGACCCACCTAGTGGGGCGTGTGCAAGCAAAGTTGGGGACGGCGAGGGGCCGGGTGGGACTACTGCGCTGGGCAGGGGGGGTCTGCGTGGCCGGCGCAGACGGCTTGCTGTTGAAACCGCATGCATTTGCAGCGGCTTGCATGTGGCAGCTGGCTGGCTGACTGTGGTTCCTGCCACAGCTGACTACGTGTGAGGGGTTGGGTGCACGCGTGGCAGTCCAGGTCCTGTCGCGACCAGGAAGATGCCGTACCACTCATCACGCCCATGAGTGGGCCCCTGCCGTACGCCAACCAGCGGTCCAGCGCTCCCAACACAGACAGCACATTGGAAGCCAGTTCATGGAAGGCGGTGCCACTCACTTAGGCCTGTAATGAAATCCCGAACGTAGCCCTTCTGAGTCCCTGTCCAGGGGCCGTACCAGAGGACATAGAGCTTCGTAGGGGCGCCCGTCATGACCGTCCCGATTCGCACTGGTGTTGGGTGGACGGGGACGCAAGCAGCAGCGGCTGTGTGCGAGGGCCGGGTAACGGGGGACATGGGGGAGTTGAGCAGCGGCGAGCCGTGTCGGTCGCGCCGGCGGCCGCTCATGTGCAGACGTTGCGGGGCCGGCTGGATGGGTTTGATGCACGGCCCTGCCCACAAGTGAAGGCGGCAGGCAACCCGCAGGGTGAGGGCTGTGCAACCGTGATTCCCCGTCAAAAATCTCTAGCCCCACAGAAATCTTTAGCCTGGCGAGTGAAACACAAGTCGCCCTCACTGTCGATCCCAATCGCAGTAGGAAGCGCTGCCAGCGACCGGGAGCGGCGCCTGCGCCCTGGAGCAGACTGTTCCAGGGCGTCGCCGCTCTTCTGCGCTGCCACGACCAAATTTAAGGAGGGGAAGACTTGCTTGTATGCAGCAGGTGTGATGGTTGGGTCGGCACTGGGTGGCAGTGGAGGTGGTGTGCGTCGGTCCAGCGGTCAGGGGTATGCCTCAGAGGGCGCGAAGCACGCGACATGCACGCGTGAAAAGCGCACGCCAGCCGTCATCCGTCCCTGCCTCGCTGCAGCAGGCACTGCCGCCGGGCAGGTTTAAGTGCATGTCGCCGGTCCACAACCCATGTACCCATCTGTACAGTGAGCAAGTTCTCACCTGAGCGGAGTCAAACTACTGCGGCTGCTTCCAGCAACCTGAGCTGATGCTGAAGCACTGCCGAAGGGAAGCCTAAATATTGAAGGCGGAATCCCAGTCGTCTGAGCCCTCACGAGCACCGCCCCTGCCACAATGGCAACGAAGTACATCGGTAACGAACCCCCGCGAGATGTGGCCGGCCGAGAGCGACTTTGCATGTGCATCTCGCTGCCTTGATTTGTTCACTTAGATCTATAAAATTCTGGAGCACACACCAGCATCTGCCACGATAGAGGTGCTATGGAAGCGACGTGCTGCTGTGCCAGAAAGTGGAGACTGAGAGAATGAGATATCGACACGCAGTAGTCTTCGTGATTCTAACGGATCATATTTGTTCGCAGGCATATTTGGTCCGAAGCAGCGCTCCTTGATTGCCAAGATGTCACCAGCTGGCTGTCCAGGTGACCCGTCGTCGCGAGAGAGGTGGCCTTTTCATCCAAGGCCTGCCGCCCTCGGCACGCGCACCCTTACCGCGCATACGTAAATTTGGCCCGTGATTTTGAAAGCCAGTAGGCTCGTCATGTGAATGGAGGGCTCGGTTGGCAGCAGCAAATGCGTGCAGGCAATTGCACAGTGCCAATCGCGACAGGAAGGGACCAAAAGCGGCGTCGCGCCAAGGCGCCTGGCATGACGCGCTTGTCAGCCATCTGTGCTTCCGTTTCGGCATGCTTGTCTTCAGCAGATTGCCCCCCGAAAGTGCGCAGGGGCATCAAAACTTGCAGTTGTGCGCACAACCACCCTCTCCTTGGCCAGACTCCCCGCTGGTGGGAAGTTGCAACACGAGCTCAAGCCACATCGCGCTGTCCTGGGTGACCTGCCACCTACCTCACAGGTGCTCTCGTTTTTACAAGGAACAGGAACAGTGCAACAGGTATGGGCAGGGATCCCTCACGCGCTCTGCTAACACTGTCTCACGCCTCACTAGGCGTCACCGGCAGCAGCCACTTGGTCACCCGCGTCACCCGTAAACCAGGACCAGCACTCGAATGTGAAGCTTTGACGTCAGTAAGGTAGTTGAGGTGTGATTCTGTTCAACAAACCATGGATGCGAGTACCGAAAGGTTACGGACAGGGATACCCCACTCGCTTTGTGCACTCGGCTGCTTGCCGCACGTAGTTGGTCCTTCGGATCCCCGGTGAGACGGTGACAGCCGACTGCGACTCCAGGGTAGTTGAGGTATACTTGCATGCATGAGTAATAGAAGACTGCATACGGGGTAGAAGACTGCATGCAACGTCTCGCGCGGGCTGCGAATGGCGCGAAATCATGGCGCCAAAGCACCTGTGGGGCTGCACATGGGCCGGCTGGTGGCGCGGCTCTCTCAAAGCGCAGTGCCTGCTTCTATCTGATTATGTGAGGCCAAGACTACGAGTGCATGAAATATTCACCCGTTTAGTATTCATGTTCACAGTACCTGCGTGAAATCCCAGCATAGCTGCTTGTTCCGCGCCCAGATCAAACCACGTGTCATAGCTTCTCGCCAGCCGCATGAGTCCATCAATAAAATGTCTGGATATCATGCTCCTGTGCGTGGCAACGGTGGTGGCCGCGGCGGCGCCCACAACGGTGCCTCCGTCGCCAGTGCCCAACACAGCACGACCAGCACGCGCAGCCCTCGAGCCCGACAGCGCCGGCCGCATCGTCGCGCGGCGGCCGGGCGCGTGGTACTCCCTGAAGGTGCTTCATACAGCCCCCCGCACCCCGCCGCGCCTGCGGCCCCGCCAGCATCGCCTATCACCGTCCACTGGCCCCGCCGCGCCCCGCGAGCGCTCACGCCCAAAACGCCGCTCGGCGCGCGTCGCCCCCAGGTGTCCGCCCCCACCGTGATCCGCTTTGGGCCCCGCGACTGGCGGATGTGGGCGTACGGCCGCGAGGCCAATTTCAGTGACGAGTACCCCACATGGAGCTTCGGGCGCAGCGGTTACTTTGTCAGCGCTGACGGTGCGTGCGTGCGCGGGTGCGAGCCCCCGGTCGGGTGACTGTGTGCTGTGTGTGTGATAAGGGACGCCATGCCGACCCGAGGACGCGTGAAAGGGTGGGGCGGTGTGTGAGGGTGGGGCTGGGCAGGGC